CAGGACGAGGGGACAAGAGGAGCTGGCCCTCTCCCAAGAACCGAAGGTGGGTAAGGCCGAGCGTTGAGTGTGTTGGGGTGAGGGTGGGTGCCAGGGAGTTGGGGTGTGAGTCAGGGATCAAGGGGCTCCATGGTTTCCTCACCGTGCTGAGGGCAGTTAGCCATGGAAAGAGCTGGCAATCCCCACGTATGCTTTCCTGCTCTAGTCTTTTCAGTGCGCCTTTGTAAACAGAAAACTTGGAAAGGGTTTTACCAGGAGAGGCCAGGATACCAGTGGAGAAAGCTAGAAAATAGATGCTTAACTTATAGGGACAGAGTAAGACTTTAGTGAGCCCTGGAGCTGATGCTGTGCTTTCTCCAGCCGCCCTCCTGAGGAGCGACCCCCGGGGCTTCCTCTGCCTCCACCGCCCCCCAGCAGTTCTGCTGTCTTCCGCCTGGACCAAGTTATCCACAGCAACCCTGCTGGTATCCAACAGGCTCTGGCCCAACTTAGCAGCCGCCAAGGAAATGTAACTGCACCAGGGGGGCACCCAAGGCCTAAGCCTGGACCTCCCCAAGCCCCTCAGGGCTCCTCCCCTCGACCCCCAACCCGTTATGACCCCCCGAGGGCCAGCAGCGTCAACAGTTCTGGTAAGCTGGAGGCAAGCAGGTGGGAATGACTGCAACCCCAAAGGTCAGGTGCTGGGGTGGGGAGCAGAAGTTTGGCCTGGGGGTCCTGTTAGTGGGTTCATCCGTGAGCATAGCAGGAAGGACTGGGGGGTGGAGTCGGGAGAGCGAGCTAGGGTCAGAGCTAGACCGAGGAAGATGCTGACAGTTCTCCCCTCTTCCCCAGACCCCCACTTCGAGGAGCCAGGGCCGATGGTGAGGGGGGTGGGCGGGACTCCCCGGGACTCTGCCGGGGTTAATCCCTTCCCCCCGAAACGGCGGGGGGGGGCTCCCCGAAAACCGGAGCTGCTGCAGGAGGTGAGGGATGGAGATTGGGCTTCACCGCACCCCCGCCTGGGTGGTTCTTGCTTTCTGTCTGCTATGCTCTTGCTCCAGATCCCCGTTATCCATCACCACTTCTCTCTCGTGGTCCTCCTCCCCCGTTGTCTGCCTCCCCTGCTGCTCCTCCTTGCTAGGCCCAGCTTATTTGTGTTTTGCCCTTCTGGGTTTTCTCCCCTTCAGGAACCTGTGCCAGCTTCTCATAGCTCTGGATTCTTAGGCTCTAAGCCTGAGGTCCCAGGCCCTCAGGGAGAACCCAGAGATTCAGACGCAGAGGCCCTAACTCCCCACATCTGGGACCGTTTACATAATGGTGAGTAAAGCAGCTGGAGGGGGAAGACCCACCGAGTTGGGGCAGGGGTGTGAGGGGCCTTAGGACTGTTCTCACGCCTGCTTCATGGTGGTTGTTCTCCAGCCACAAGCCGAAAGAGTTACCAGCCTGGCTCCATAGAGCCCTGGATGGAGCCCCTGAGTCCCTTCGAGGATGTGGCAAGCACAGAGGTGAGTGGGCATTGGAAGGAAGGAGGCAGCAGAGATTTTTGTCTCTTCATCTGTCCAGGTCTCCTTCCCTCAGTTCCTTGTGTGTGTGCACTTGGTGGTGGGTCGGTGTTTTCTGCTCTAACTTAGCTACTCCCCCACTCCTCAGATGAGTCAGTCTGACAGTGGGGTGGACCTGAGTGGAGATTCTCAGGTGTCATCAGGTCCCTGCAGCCAGCGAAGCTCCCCTGATGGAGGACTTAAGGGGTCAGCAGAGGGACCCCCCAAGCGGCCTGGAGGACCCTCACCCTTGAATACTGTTCCTGGTGAGGCTGCATCTGGCTCTGAACCCTCTGAACCTACTAGGAGACGGCCACCTGTTCCCCATGATGGGGACAGAAAGGTAAAAAAAAGACTTACTTGGCTCTGTCTTGGTGCCTTTCTTTGCCAATGTGTTGTGGAATGTCTTGTTTTGTTTCTCTGTCACTCACCAACTGTATTTTGTTGTTTGCCAATCTAGGAGCTGCCCCGGGAGCAGCCCCTGCCCCCTGGTCCCATAGGCACCGAAAGATCACAGCGCACAGACCGAGGCCCAGAGCCAGGCCCCCTACGGCCAGCCCACCGACCTGGCTCTCAAGTTGAGTTTGGCACTACCAACAAGGTCTGAATGGGCTGAAGTTGGACATGTCCTGGGTTGGGGACAGAGAGTGATGACAAGTGGGATGGCAGTTTGAATTGTGGGACAATCGCCTCCCCCCTTCCAACATTACAGGACTCAGACTTGTGCCTAGTGGTAGGAGACACTTTAAAAGGAGAGAAAGAGTTGACAGCGTCGGCCACAGAGGTAGGTAGAGTGGGTTTGGCGGGAGGCCTGTGACTCTTGATGAAGATGAATAAGTGATAAGCATTTGGAGCAGCGGTTCTCAACCTTCCTAGTGGTTCCCAGCCCTCCTGATGCTACAGCCTTTAACATAGCTCCCCATGTGGTGACCCCAACTGTACAGTTATTTCATTGCTACGTCACAATTGTGATGTGAGGACTGGAGATGTGGCTCAGAGGTTAAGAGCACTGTCTGCTCTTCCAGAGGTCCTGAATTCAATTCCTGGGTTCAATTCCCAGCACCCACATGGTGGCTCACAGCCATCTGTAATGAGATCTGCTGCCCTCTTCTGGCCTGCAGGGGTACATGCAGACAGCACTGTATACATGATGTTTTTAAAGTGAAAAGGGATCACAGCCCACAGGTTGAGAACTGCTGATCTAGAATGTAAGGCTTCCTCCTTGACAAGGCTTCTTTTGGCCAGGCCGTTCCCATACCCAGAGACTGGGAGCTGCTTCCCAGCGCTTCAGCTCCCACTGAGCCACAATCTAAGAGCCTGGGTTCTGGGCACTGTGGTCCAGAGCCCAGCCCTTCAGGTCAGCGCCTATATCCTGAGGTCTTCTATGGCAGTCCTGGGCCTCCCAGTTCCCAAGTAAGTCCCATTTTTTATCATCATTTTCCCCCTTTCTACTTGCCCTTCTTGCCCTTCTTTCGAAACGGCCTCAAACCCTGATACTCAGCTGATGCTACCTGCCAGGTGCTGGGATTAAAGATGCACCCTACCGACATAGCCAGGAGATTTTGTGTGTGTGTGTGTGTGTCTGTGTGTGTGTGTGTGTGTGTGTGTGTGTGAACACGTGCGCATCTGGAAGCAGCCCCATCTCTACGTGAATGGGTTCCAGGTTACCAGGTGTCCCCAGCAAGTGCCTTTGCCAGCTGAGCTGTCTCTTCTACCCTCAAGTTGCTTAATTATGAAACATTTCACAATTCTGTTTCCTGCAGTGAGTGGGTAGGATGGGTGAGGCTTTTTGTTGAGCAGTTTTTGTTTTTGATGGCCATTGCTTTGACAAAATACCTGTGGTTTTGAAGGTTCTTCATGGAAGGAAGGACCATGGTGGTGGGCTGGCATGATGGAACCAATCAGTTACCTCTTGGTGACCAGGAGTGTGAGAAGGGGTTCTTGTAATTTTTTAATGTTTATTTAACTTATGCTATAGAACTGGCTCAGATGAAGAGCACTGGCTATTCTTCCAGAGGTCCTGAGTTCAATTCCCAGCACCTGCATGGTGACTCACAACCATCTGTAATGAGATCTGGTGTGCAGGCATACATGCAGGCAGAACACTGTATACATAATAAGTAAATCTTTCTTTAAAAGTAAGTTCCAGGACAGCCAGAGCTACATAGAGACGCCGAGTTTGGGGCGGAGGAGGTTTTGTTTTGTTGTAAATATGCATGAGTGATGTGCCTGTGTGTGTATGCGGTGCCCACCAAGGCGGAAGGCAACCTTGGATCCTCTTGGAGGTGGAGTTGCCACCATGTGGTTACTAAGGATAGACCACATCTTCTGAAGGAACAGCCAGTGAACTTAACTACTGAGGGAGTTCTCTAGCCTTTTTTTTTTTAAAGATTTGTTTTAGTTTTGTGTATTCAGTGGGTATGTGCATGATTGGCAGTGCCCATGGAGGCCAGAGGTGTCTGATCTCCCTAGAGCTAGTGGGACAGACAGACAGATGGACGGACGGACGGATGGCTGTGGTGCCTGTTCTGCTCTTAACAGCTGAGCCATCTCTACAGCCCCCCCCCCCCATGTTTTATTTTGGCATAGTCTGGCCATGTTATCCAAACTGCTCTTGAGTTTACTGTGTAGTAACTTGGTGGTGTCCACTGTGCCATCAGCCTCCCCAGGAGCTGAGGTCCCACCAGGCTCCTGTGTCACTTACTCGCTTGTATTCTGTCAGGCTGGTGGCCTGCAGCATGATGTTGTCCTCTTTCAGTTGGGTCCTCTTCCCCGTTGGTCACCCTTCTCCTGGAACATCCAAACAAACACAGTGTACTTTTCTGTTGACTGTTGACAACTGGGATTACCCATCCCGCTGCTAGAGATCAGACCTGGGGCCCCGTGCATTGAAGCCTCTACCTCTGTGCTGCATATGTATCCAGCCCGTTAGCTTTTCTTGACCAAAGGTACTAGAACTGCTTTCACCTTGCTGTCCTCCATCAGGTCTCTGGGGGTGCCATCGACTCTCAGTTACATCCCAACAGTGGAGGCTTCCGTCCTGGGACACCCTCATTGCACCAGTACAGGTAAAACTAGATACCTGTAGACCACTGAAGATTCCAGAAGAGAGAGTACCGAAGAGTAGATTAAGGCATCATTCAGACTAAGAGAGTAACATCTCCTTAACTTCTTTTCAGGTCACAGCCCCTGTATCTACCCCCAGGTCCAGCTCCTCCCTCGGCGCTGCTCTCTGGGGTAGCTCTCAAGGGCCAGTTTCTGGATTTCTCAGCACTGCAAGCCACAGAGCTGGGGAAGTTGCCTGCTGGAGGGGTTCTCTACCCTCCACCGTCCTTCCTCTACTCTGCAGCTTTCTGCCCCAGCCCTTTACCTGACACACCCTTGCTTCAGGTGGGCAGTGGGCAGTGGGAAGGGTGCTCTTGGGAACCTGACCTGCTCTGGGACTCACGCAGCCCAGGTCACAAGTAGGAGCCATCCTCCCTGGGAATTGACCTGTTCCCCACTTCCCAACAGGTACGCCAGGATCTGCCATCCCCTTCAGATTTTTACTCTAACCCTCTACAGCCTGGTGGTCAAAGTGGCTTCCTTCCTTCAGGAGCCCCTGCCCAGCAGGTACCTTGATCTCCTGCGGCCTCTGTCTTGGTTTGGATTTTCCCACGTGCTCTCCTGTCCTAATGGACTCACTGGGTTCTTGTAGATGCTCCTCCCTGTGGTAGAATCGCAGCTGCCCGTGGTGAACTTCGGCTCCCTGCCACCCGCGCCACCTCCTGCTCCACCCCCTCTGTCTCTGTTACCTGTGGGTCCTGCTCTGCAGCCCCCCAGCCTGGCTGTGCGGCCCCCACCTGCTCCTGCTACTCGGGTCTTGCCTTCATCTGCCAGGCCCTTCCCCGCTAGCCTGGGGCGAGCAGAGGTAAGGAGTATAGCAACTGAGAAGTATGGCACCCTCTAGGTGGAAGGATTCTGTATTTCAAGTTGCATGGGTCTTGGATGATAGCAGGGTGGGAGGATTCAGACAGGACTTTCATAGGGTGAATGATCTCTGTCTTCAGCTGCACCCAGTAGAACTAAAGCCTTTCCAGGATTATCGGAAGCTGAGCAGCAACCTTGGTGGTCCTGGGTCATCTCGGACTCCTCCAACTGGAAGGTACACAGGAATGGGGTATAGACTCTCCATCCTCGGGGATTTTGTTTGAAGCAGGGACAGTCTTGGGCTTGCCTTGACGAGATTTCTTCCCTTAGGCCCTTCTCTGGTCTCAGTTCCCGTCTCAAGGCTCCTCCTTCCACTTACAGCGGAGTATTCCGAACTCAGCGCATTGACCTCTACCAACAGGTGAAGGAGAAGCCCTGTGACCCCAGCCTGAGTTCCCAGAGGGTTGCTGACTTACTCTTCCACGTGTACCTATCCTTAGGGCTCCCCACCTGATGCCCTGCGCTGGATGCCGAAGCCTTGGGAAAGGACGGGGCCACCTTCTCGAGAAGGGCCTCCCCGAAGAGCAGAGGAGCCTGGGTCCCGGGGGGACAAGGAGCCTGGATTGCCCCCACCCCGCTGAGGGAGTTCCCCTTGACCCCCACCCCCGGGGCTTGTATATAGATTATAAATATATAAGGGGGAAGGGGTGGCTGGGGAGGGGTTGTGGGTCTGGAGCCTCACTTCCCCTCTTCTCTTCCCCTGGTCCCCCATCCCTGGGGCCGTTTGTTAAAAAAGAATAAAAGAATTAAAAAAAGGGGGGGAAGTCATTTGGGGTTTAGTTAACTGTGATGTTTTACCATGTGTACCCGGTGGGTTCAGTAAGAACTATGCGCTTCAGGGTTCCAGAATTAAGGATATTAGCTGGGCTCAAATAAGAAAGTCTGCTTGTGCCTGTCTCGGGGCTTCTGTTGCTGTAGCTGTGCAACAAAGGAGAGCATTTCATTGGAGTGAGCTTACAGGTTGAGAGGTTTAGTCAGCACAGTTGGAAGAATGGTGGCACATGGGCTGATGTGGTGCGAAGAGCTCTACATCTGGATCTGCAGGCAGCTTGAGTGAGCCACTGTGCTTGAGTGAGCATCTGAAGTCTCAGAGCACACTACCTCCAACAAGGCCACACCTAATGCCACTCCCTCTGAGCCTATGGGGCCAATGCATTTCTCTTGGGCAGCGGGTTCCACTGTTAGCAACTTTCTTGGGCAGGTGTCCTGTGACTGGCAACTCCAGAATACTTCACACCCTTCTGAGCCTCTGTGCAGAGATGTCCCTGACACATTTGGCCTCTGTAGCTTTCTTTAGCAGGGGGAGAAGTTCCATCCCTACCCCTCTTTAAAATTCATGGATTCCATAACCTGGCTGCTGCATTCCTCAATGCTCACAGCCAGGGAGCCTTCTGCATGTATGTGGACAGTTGTGTAGCTTGGGCCTCTTTAACATTGGGAATGGGCTGCTTCTGACTCTTACTGGCTTCTGGGACTATAACCCCTTTCTTGTTACCTTGACTATTAAGCCAGAATCATGTGGCTGAAGCTCCCAAGTTTTGCTAGGGCTGGAACATGGCCCCATTATTCAAACACATTTCCATAATAAGCGTTCTGGTTTTGCTGGTTTCCGTCACTGTGTGTCACATTGAGCTTAGATTTAGCAAAGGGGACCTCAAAGCTCACCCTCACAGTAAAACACTTTCTCCAAGAAAGCCACACCTAATAATGCCACTCAGCTCTGAGTTTATGGTGGCCAATTACATTTAAACTACCATCTTCCACTCCCTAGCTCCCATAGGCTCAGCAATATGATGCAAAATGTATTTACCCCAGTTCCAGAGGGCCCCAAAGTTAATTGCAATAGTCTCTACAAAGAGATGCAATTTCTCAAATGTAGTATCCCATAAAATCAAAAAGCAGATCAGATATTAACATGTAATGGTACAGTATATACATTGCCATGCCAAAACAGGGAAGGGAGGATACTGAGGAAATACTGGAGCAAAGTAACCCTGAAAAAGTGGTCAGAGCACTCTTGAGAGCTCCAACTCTACCTTTGTTGACTGCAATGCACCTCTCTTGGGCTGGTTCCACTCCCTGTCGCAGCTTCCCTTGGCATGTATGCCATGGTTTCTGGAATCTCTAACATCTTGGGGTTTCCAAGTCGAGCTAGGCTTCACCTTCACAGCATTGCAAAATGGCTTTTCTATAACCTCCATGTAGGGACACTCCTGACACATGGCATGGCCTCGGCAGCTTTTTTTTTGCCATTACATCCTTGACTTAAAAATCCAGAATTGCTCAAGCTGCCAAAGTTCTGCAGCCTGCTGGGGCTGGTATTTGGCCACTTCGCAGTTACGTCTTCACCAGCTTTTTGTTTCCGATGGTTTCCTTCACTGCCTAAGCTTGTCCTGAAACCTGCTCTCTAGAGCCGACTAGCCTCAAATTATGTCTTGCAGAATGCTGGGATTAAAGGGGTGCATCACCATACACAGCCCTAAGCCTTTCTCTAATTCTGTTTCATAAATTGGAGGGTTAGCTGTGTGGGCCCTTTCTCTGTCATCACCATTCCCTTTATCCCACTTAGTATCAGGCTTTCTTTTAATCTGTTTATGCTTCCTGGTGTCCTTTTCTCCTCAAACAGTACATTTTCTATTTCTCATTGCTCAGCTTACTTCTTTTCACGATAGACCTATGTAAGTGTGGCAACAACCAACCAAGCAACACCATCACCATTAAGCTGTCTGGAAATCTGCTAAAGCTGTGGGTTTGACTTCAATTTAGTCTCCGGCAGACAAGGGCAGGAAGCCAAATTCCTCACCAAAATATCACAAGCACAGCTCTGGGGTCACTTATTGGTATTGCCTAAATTCTCAAGCCAGGCCTACACAGTTCACAGTACCCTCGACACCACACTGCTATGAACGGCTACACACTTCAAACATGGCCCAACAAAAGCATGGTCAGCAATGCCTCAGTCCCGGTTACCAACTCTGCATTAGGGTTCTATTACTGTGAAGAAACCATCACCGTGTTAAATCATTTAATTGGGGTGGGCTTCCAGGTTCAGAGCTTTAGTCCACTATCCAGGTGGGACACAGGCAGATGAAGTCCTGGAAAAGCTGCCACTGGGCCTCCTTTGACCATCGGAAACCTGAAAGCCCACCCTTAGTGATACACTTCCTGCAACTAAACCACACCTCCTCATAGTACCACTCCCTGTGGGGAGCCATTTTCAGTTTAAACCACCTCAGTACCACATAGCTGCCTGCTGTTTCCGGTCTTCAGCACAGGGATGTCATTAGGCCTTCACATTCCAGAGACCAAAGCAAAAGTTGCAAAACTTACTAGCTGGCCTGAGCTTAAAGTACTATCCTACAAAAGTTCAACCACTCATAGGCCTGCATAAGCTCCATAAGCAGAGTGTGCTATACACGTGTACTAGGTTCGGAGGGATTGGATGAAATGTTGGGAGAAAATGAAGGTACTCAACACTAACTACCAGACAAAGAAGCCAGGAAAATCCGACTTTTATTTCTTAAATACTGTGAAGGAAGGGGGAATGGTCCCCCCGTGAGAAAGCTAGGGGTCATCAGCAAATGCCCGGTGGGCATTGGGGAAGCGCTGGGGGCTGTAGTTGGGGTCTTCCTGCAGTCGCTTTTGGATATCAGACCGGAGCTACAAAGAGAAAACACAAGCAGGTTGGAGGAGCCCTGGTTTAGCCCTATGATCCCAGCAAGTGCAAAGACCAACCCTCAGGAAATACTTCCCCACCAACCAAGCTGGCTAGGCCAATGAGATTGCTGAGCCTTCCCAAATGCCACAAGGAAAACCCTGACCACCAACCGGGGGCTTCATCTCTGGATAGATTCAGGGAAGCAGGAACCTGGCCCAACCCCTCCCAATAGACCATTCCCTATTCTGCTGCAAAGTGGGGGCACCTGCTGCCTGTAGCTCTCCTGAACCTCTGGTGCCTCCAGGTCCCGGCTCAGGCTCTCGGGGCTTGTCAGGGGCCGAGCTCCGGCTGCCTTAGCTGCCCGGCTCACTGCCTCTGAGAGTAGCAGCTGGGGGCCCTCACCCTGCATTGTCTGGGGACAGGTGGAGAGGGAAAAGGGGATCAATATCAGACCCCCTGCCACCAACCCAGTTCCCCCTTTCCCTTGGCTAACCAGTGTCCAGTCCAGTCCAGTTCCCCTTTCCCCTGGCTAACCAGCGTCCAGTCCAGTCCCCCCTTTCCCTTGGCTAACCAGTGTCCAGTCCAGTCCAGTTCCCCTTTCCCCTGGCTAACCAGCGTCCAGTCCAGTTCCCCCTTTCCCTCAGCTAACCAGTGTCCAGTCTAGCACAGGGCGGGGAAACAGTCTGCATGTGCTTTTCACAGCAGAAATGCCTTCCTAACTATGGCTAAAAAAAAAATGTTTGATTACAAAGATGGCACCAGCAGGTCAGACCACCTGAGACTCAGAGCTAGCTACTCGTCAAGACCCTAATCACTTGGGAAATCACACAGCTGCGAGTACCAGAACTGCCAGAAACAGTAAGATGAAGGCCCATGTTGTCATGTGCACAAATCATGAACAAGCCTGACCCCCAAACAGGCTTCCTAACTAGATGAAGAAACTGAACTAGCAAGCAAAAGCCTCTAGCTCAACAAGGGTTCTGGACAGAGACACCTTAGGAAAGAGACAGACCAACCTTGCGTCTCTTGGCAGGCATACCGCTGAGGTAGGCGTCGCTCAGGGGCGGCTGAGGTTTCACCTTTCGCTGGCTCTGAATGTCCTGCTGGATAATAGGGACCCATTCCTGGGGAGGAAAGGGTTAGAAATAATTCTCACAACTCACAGCTCTTAAACCCACTGGATCACCTCCTGCCACTTACTGGGGGGACCGCAGCTGCCCAAGGTTCTGCATCGGCTGAAGCTCCATCCTGTTCATCTCGGGAACCACCTTCGGGAGCAGGGGGTGGACCTCGGGACATGGCTTCTTCTGCTGTTGTTCCAGGGGCTGGGGAAGCATTCTCCCGCTGGAAGGCAGATGGCAGGAAGGTCCAGACTTCAGAATTCTTTGCCCCCAAGTGCCTTTTCTTACAGCCCAGCCATCTACACATTATCTGGCCTCTCCACCTCTCCTGATACCTGAGGTTCAGGGGAAGTTCTTTCTGCTCCTTGAACTTCCATTGGCTCTTCAGGAAGTGTCTGTGGAATTTCACAAAGAAATAAAAGGAGGGGGGGGGGTATCAGTACAGTCCATCTCTCAAGTGTCCTTATGTCCCCTGACCCCACAGCCTACTAGGTCCCTTACCTGGGGGGGATCACCAACCCTGCGAACGTATCTGAGGATGGCATCAGGGCCCACAGGCATGTGTTCCAAGACCACCTGAAGCCTCAGTCCCATCATAGTCGTCAGCCAGCTCACCAAGGATGGGTTCACTCCACGAGACATGCGACGCTGAGGGTTAGAAAGCAGACTTACAACTTGTGCAATCTACATCTCGGGCAATAGGTGCAGTACTTGGAGAAATAGAAAACTGCAAGACATAATAACAAAGGAGCTAGAGACTTAAGAGTCGGGCGGTGCTTACAATTCGGCCGTTGATGACAGCAGCAAGCTCCATCTGCTGTCCCCCCAAGCAGTGTAGGTTCAGGGCCAAGCACTCAAACAGGCCCTGGTTACACAGCTCCAGCAAGCGGGCTCCAAATCCACTGTCTGGAAGGAGGATGCGAGAGGGCCCATGACTCTGCCAGTCCTACAGAGCAGTGCTTCCCTCTCCCTGGCAGCCCTGCCTGACCTGTGCAGTGTAGCACATGCGCAGCAATGCTGTTAAACTGCTCTTGGAGGAATTCTAAATTTGTCCGGATGATGTCCACACCCGGCTGAACCTGCACCAAAGACTGAGACAAGACACACAAAGATCTCCAAATCAGAACCATGAGGGTCTAGGAGGAGGAGGTGACAGGGACCCCTAGCTTCCCCGCCCAAACCTAGACAGGAAGAAAACACATAAAGCATACTCACAAAACTCTCCCGTACATATTCTTCCAGCCCAGTGATCAATGTATGGGTTGCCATCTGTAGGGGAACATCACAGTTCAGGTTTAGTCCCACCTGTCCCATGCAAGCCCAAGGCCTGGGCCGAAGTAGAACTGTCACTGACTGATAGAAAGCAGCCGGGATTAAGGGATGGAGGCCAGAAGGAAGGAAAGCTCTGGGCTCTGGGCTCTCATTTACCCGGATGTTGCCAGGTGTGGGCTCCTGACCACCCAGGTAGTGCTGGTGGAAGAAAGATCGCAGCTGTGGCTGGAGCCGCTGCAGTGGCTGGAAGTGCCCGTGGAGAAGCATCACCACATCCACCATGGAGAAATTCTGGCACAGAAGAGAGAGCAGAGCTCCAAAGAATCCTAGGGAGAGGGGCAGAAGTGAGCAGTTGTGTCCCCTGCTTGCCGAGCCCCACAAGCTGTCAGCCTAATCCTTCTTAGTAAAGAAAGGCCAACCACACACACACACACACACACACACACACACACACACACACACACACACACACACACACACCCGCTAGTTCCCAAGACCATAGCACCCCCTTTTTGCTTACCAAGAGCCCCATCAGCCCCAGGCTCAAAGATGTTGCTGGATCCACTGAGGCGTTGGATGAAGGCAGCAATGCTCTCACTGCTTGCTCTGGGGCAGGGGGTGGGGGTGGAGGAGGTGGAGGGGGTGGAGGGGCAGTCTGTGATGCCTAGCAGAGAAGGAAGAGCAGAAGACAAAGATCACAGGGTCAAGAACATAAACTGCATCAAGAAGGCACAAAACAACAGGCCCAGGAGAAGAGGAAAGAGCTAGATTCTGGTTTTTGTTTTTGAGGCAAGGTTTCCCTATGGCTTTGGAGGCTGTCCTGGAACTAGCTCTTGTAGACCAGGCTCGTCTCGAACTCAGAAATCCACCTGCCTCTGCCTCCCACATGCTGGAATTAAAGGCATGCGCCACTACCGCCCAGCAAGAGCTAGATTCTGATCTTGACTTAAAACAACCACCACCTATTTTTAATAACTATATTTAATGTGTATAGGCATTCTTCCTGCCTATATGTCTGTGAAACATGTGTGCCTGGTTTCCATGGGGACCAGAAGAGGGAAACAGATCCCTTAAACTGGAGTTACAGATGGTTGTGAACCATCATGTGGGTTCTGGAAATCCAACCCAGGTCCCTCTGCAAGAGCAGCAAACTGGCTCTGATCTTAACTTCTTAAGCCAGAACACTCAGGGACAGACACTCAACAGAGGGCATGAAACCAGAAACCAAGTAACTACCTCCCTGCCTCTGAATGGGTCAGACCAGGAAACAGGGACAGCGCTGATTTTCAGGCAGGCCCTCCCCCTCTCACATCTCTACAGCTGCTACTCAGCAGCTACAGATTGGCAATAAAGTACCACTGCTCTACTGGGCTGGGGGACAAAAGGGCAGAAGGACAGCCACTCACCTGCAAGAAATCGGTCATGCCCTGGAGAAAAGCAGGAACACCAGGCATTGCAACAGTGATGGTGGGAGAAGCCATGCCAGGCCCAGCAGCCCCGGGCCCTGCAGGCCCCAGCAGGTTCCCCAGGAGCTGAGAGAACTGAAGGTCAGCGGCAGAGGGCTGAGGAGGTGGGGGCTGTGCAGGACCCCCAGGAGCAGGGCCAGCTGTTGTAGCTGTGTTTGTAGTGCCAGCACTAGCTGAAGCAGTGGCAGGAGCTGGAGCTGGAGCAGGAGCTGGAGCTGTGGCTGTAGCTGCAGCCGGAGCCGTGGCTGGAGCCGGAGCTGGAGCCGGAGCCGGAGCCGGAGCTGGAGCCGGAGCCGGAGCAGGAGCCAGTCCTGGAGTCCCCTGAGCTGTCAGGAACCAAAAAAAAAGTACAATTTGTACAAAAACCAGATTAAAACTGCCCGTTCTAGTCTTTCCAGCAGAAAAACAAGAACTAAGATGTTCTATGAGGACTAGGACATACAGAGCAGGACAGAGGACCATCAACACAGTAAACATGGATGTCCCTTTGCCCCAAAATCTTCCTCAGTAGCCCAAGCTATCTTAGAAATTAAGTCAACAGTCTAGGATGTTCTTGAACTCATAGCAACCCAAGCATGCAAGTTTGAGCTAGGAAAGAACACGACTCACCCACAAGGACAGGCTGCATAAGAAGCTGCCCCACAAGGCCGCTCACCATCTGGGCCAGTGAAGCATTTGTACCCAGTCCAGAGCCCTGCTGGGGGACAGGAAAAGCATTCAGTCTTGCCCCCCACCACACAATCCGCCAGGATTTTTCCCACTGGTACTCCCCAACCATTGCTCACCAGAGTCCCAGAGACTGGAGGACCCCCAGGATGGGAAGGCCGAGCCTGTGGAGGAGTGGGCCGGGCAATCACCACCCGAGTTGGTGCTGTTGGGAAGCCAGGCACCTGCTGTCCTGTGGACAGAAAGAGACCAAAGAGGGCTGAGGGTTCAGTCCCCGCCTGTCAGCAGACAAAACCCACCACCATGAACTAGGCCCCGCCTCCCAGGCCTCCCCTCCCAGCTTATTACCTGCGGCCGCGGAGGCAACTGCTGCCACCATGGCCTGATGAGTGATCTGGTGGGCGACGGCGTGCATGAACTCAGGGGGCAGGGAGGGCAGCTGGATGAGGGTGGAGCCTGGGGGGTGGGTCTGATGTAACCTTGAACCTGGACCCCTTCAACCCACCCACCACTCAGCCCTACCCCTTTTCTACCCAGAGCTCTCAGCCTGCTCTGATAACCTCATTCTTACCCAGGGTCTGTCCATGACCTGGAGGTCCCAGGGGACCAGTGGGAGCACTCGGGACACCACCCGGCTGTGATCCAGGATCTGAGCCGGAAAGACAGCCAGAAATGTAAGAATGGCAGGGCCAAGGCCTGGCCGTACCTCCTGACATCACCACTCTCAGGCCTTTTGTCCCCTTTTGTCCCCTGCAACAAGAAGGCTTGGCTCTCCTCCCACAAAGCACCTCCCTCCCGCCCTTTCCCGCCCTGGCTGCTCTTTTCTGCCAGCAACTACCCCCAGCTCACCTTGAATGTTCATGTGCATCATAACCACAGGCTCCACGCTCTGGTGGGAAATCCGGATGACCCGTGGATGGCTGGCAGCTGGTGGTGGAGCTGGCCCCGGTGGGGGAGCTCCTTCAGCTGATGAATCAACAGTGGTAGAAGATGGAGGCAGGGAAGAGGCCTGACCAGAGCCTGGGGATGCTGCCTCCGAATTGGGAGTTGGCGGAGGTCTGGCCCCATTGCCCGTCATGGTCACAGTAGTCCCCACATTGATCTGGAAGAGAGAACAGGCAGACATGAGACAAACACAGGGGCCTAACCCAGACCACCCCAAGAGCCACCTCCAGAGATGCCACATGCTCTGTCACCACAGTTTTCTTGCTTTCTAGCCTCCCAGCAGCCATTTGGGTCATCAGATGCTACCCTGCCCATTCTCCCTCCAGCCAGGCTCCGTGAACCCACCTGAATAGGGATGGCTGCCTGCTGGAGCACCATGGGGGTCGTGTAGTGAGACATGGGCCGTACCACATGCAGGTGCCGGGGGGGTGCACAGGCTAGATTGCAGCGCAGATCAGACAGTGCCACGAAAGTGTTGCCCAGGAGCCGAAGGCTCTCCCCCACCAAGTTGATCAACCTCTGGTCCTCCTCACGGCCCTCATGCTGTGCCCAGGTCAAACCCAGAAAAGCAGGATATTAATAGGGATGATGCCTTCTGAGACTGCCATGTCCTCTGTCTTTGGAAGCATCTACATGAACCAAAGCTTTTCAATTTTCAATTTCTATTCAATATACATAAAGAATTTTCCACAAAAACACAGCAAAGGTTAAGTAACCAGGTATAATTCCTTTCCACTCTGTATGCTTCCTAAACAATTAGTGACACAATAGGACCAAAGACTGTCACCATTCCCATCACCGCAGACCACTCGTCTAGAGAGAGGGATTTCTGTGCTAACCCTGAGGACAGGGAAGAGCTATCTGCATCTCAACCTGCTGCTTCCAGGTATGAGGGAAGAAGGCCACCCCAAGGCTCACGTTGTTGTTGTAGTCTGTAGTGGCAGCAGCGCCTAGGACCTCACAGTAGCGCTGCAGGAAGGGCTGAAGACGGCGCTGTAGGCGCTGCAGCTCCTGGAGCACCTCCACATGCTCCGCAGGGGAAGGGTGGCTGTGGAAACACCAAGGCACTGAGCTGAGCCTGTCCCCAGGGACCCCCTGCCATTCCCCAGGTATTCTCTTTGCTCTCCTAAGACAAGCAAAGGACGGTGAGAAGAAAGCAATGCTCCCATGTCCCAGTATGGTCCTGTGCAAAGGAGGCAAAGAGGGGCTCAGAACCAGACTAGGCCTCTGCAAACCACAGCTCGGGAGGCATCCAGATCATCTTGCCTCAGAGACAATAGTGCTACACGAGAGATGTCCTTTGATCCCACAACACTAAGACCATTAAGACCCCCAGCAACCACTTTCCTCCCTTCATGTCCTTCCTGGTCCTCACACTACACCCATGACCACTCTGCCTTCCAAGTCCACAAAGGTTCTCTCCATCTCTTACTTGGGTGCGTTTGTCTCTGGCGCAGGTGTTGGGCCCGCTGGAGCTGGGCCAGCAGCGGTAAGCTCTGGAGCCTGGGATGGGGTACGCTCCCCCATCTCTTCTGACTCCATGGGCTCTCGAGGAGGTGCTTCACTTTCCACTGGTTCTGATGTCTGTGAACTCAAGGTCACTGTCTCTGAGGCCACAGGCGGCGTCTGCGGGGGTGGCTGACTGGCCTGTGCTTGGGGTCCTCGACACTGAACGTGGAGGAAGAGTCAGGATACCAAGGGTAAGATGAGATCGCTGCTGCTGCGGGTTATGCAGACCAAAGCAGCCCAGGGTAGAGATGGTGACCCCCCCCCCCCCG